GTAGCATATTGAAGGGCGGTTCGAGGTGATTTTCAAATGTAAGCAAAAATACTATTGGCGCCCCTGTTTATTAACCCCTAAACGATCGGTTAAATTTAAAGAAAACGGTCATAAAAGTGCCTATTTTGCCAAATACACGTATTTGATTACTGCTAGTATCTAATTTAAAATAAACTAACTATTTACAACTACCTTAAAAATATCCTGGAACTGCTATATTGTGTGTAAAATGAAAAATAAAATGTTTTCCGGGCAAAAGAAATGAATTAGTTTTATTCTTATTGGCGCATTATTACTGCAGTCAGTCAATATCACGGGAGAGAGAAATAGAAATCGAAAACTCACCCCGTCATTTTCACAGGAGCGAGAAGGAAGGGGTTAAGGATAATAACAATAAATATGCATGGAGTAAAATAAATTTTATTTACGATTTTAAAAATAAGTCAAAATCTAGATTTTTTCTTATAAAAATATATTCAGAAAACAAAATTTGTTTCGAATAGAGTATCATATAAAGGTTTTCTTAGTGATCAGGATTAGATACAAAGGCTAAGTTAGGACAATACAGAAAAAAGCGGGGGAAAAAAAAGGTTTTTGTGTTGTTGCTTCATAGTTCTAATATTTAAGACATTTCAGGTCCCATGCCTAACGGCTCAATTTGACCTGTGGGCCATCAGTTGTGCATCTCTGGTCTATGATATAAAACCAAAACGCCAATTTTTTTAGTATGAAGTATAACTTAAAAAGTACATATTAAGTATGAAATATTCAATGAATGTTATACAATGAATAACATTCAATGCAACACAACGTACGTGGGGATGTTAAAAATAGGTTTCCCTGGGTGACTGTGCAATGAAAGACAAAAAATACAAAGGGTGATCAAATGAAAAGGTACGAAACGACGTAAAAACGTAACAATTAAATATTTGCATATTCCGGTATGGGAGAACGTAGCGAGACATCTCGGGATGCGATTGGAGTCCCTGACTGGGATCGGAGCATGCGCTGGTGCCCGCATGAGCAGGAGAGAGCAGAGGCTCTTATCAAAAGCGGCGTCCAAATGATGCGGCAGTCCGTATGAGGACCGGATGGCGTTCGCGTTGCAAAATTCGACGATTGAGGAGCAGCGAGGTGTTATCCGATTTCCTCGAGCACAGAAAAACCATTACCTCCGATGTGTACTGTGAGACACTCTGACGCCTACGCAGGTCCATCAAGAACAAAAGAC